CATCCTTGTAGGCAATTCTGTGAGAAAGTCATATAAACCCCTGGGAAAGCTCATTCTCATTAATGTTTGCAGAACAATTTCTGAAGCAATAAGGTTCCAGTATCTTTATTTTCAAAGTGGAGTTGGATAGCTTGTCTTCCAGTTACTAAAAAACAAAATGGATCTTGACTCAAATGTCTAATGAGTGCAGATATATATAATATTTATAACTGTCTCGGCTACATAATAGTAAATAATTTTAATAAGTATTTTCTCACATGTTTAATGAGAGTAACAAGAATAACAAGAATAAGGGACTTAGAGTCCAGAATTGGGTCCTCTGTGGAAGGAATCCTGCAAATCCTGGTCCTGGGAAGTGCTGGTGTGACTCTGACACATCCCTGGTGCCCAAAGCCCTGGGGAAGTCAATAGGAAAACGTGTTCCCACCACCCACCTCCTCTCCTCCCTGCACCAGGTACCACAGCTTTGCCCAACCCATCGCTGAAAGATGCACAAGTTGTCAACATGCAGATGCTGATGTGCAAACGTCTGAACACCATCTTGAATGTCTTAGGACTGAAAAGCCCCAAATGTAGTGCCTGGAGTGTGTTTGCTTATAGAGAGACCACCAGTGTGAGCAGAGAAGCTCTTTCTATCCTTTTGAAGCTGCAAGTACCAGATCAGGGGTCACTTTACCCCCTTCTGATGAATTATGCCTTAATTACACCTCAGGAGTAGCCTGTGCCTTCTGTTGTGTCCAAACAGCACCAGTGTCAGGGAAGAGCTGTTTGCCTCGACAAACCAAGCCTTCTTCTGGGATGGCTGGCACCGGATTGTCCCCTGCACGTCCTGTAACGTTGCAGGTGTCCCCTCTCTTGAGCCTGGACCTGCAGCCTGTAACACTGGGGAGCTGTTGAACACGCAGCCGGTGCGGTGCTGCCCGTCGCTGTGGTGGTGGTGGCCACCTCTGAGGCATCTATACTGGTTATAATGGTACTAGGTGGGATGGAGAATAATGGTATGGAAGGAGCCGCTTTCTGCCTTCTCACCATAAGCTACAGAAGCTTTTCTAGTAGAGTAAAACAAACTTGAGTTTTCAATAATGTTTCCAAGGATTTTCCAAATCCTGAAGCATCACACGCTTCACTGTGAAGAGGGGACAGAAAAAGGACCAGAGAGAGATGCCACGCACTGGGGCTGAGTTAAGGCCTGAACTTCTCCCCTGGAGTCCTGCTGTGGGTCAGTGATGGTGAGGGGATGGACCAGAGACCTCTGAACCTCCTCACCTAACAGCTGGATCACACCTCCTCTGGGTTACTGTGCTACTAGACCTGTTATTATCCATGCAAAAGCTGAATTACAGTCTCTGAAAGAGATGTGACAATCACCTCATTAAGATTAACATATTTGTAGTAATAGTTGCAGTAAACGCGCTGCAGAAATTTGCCTATTTTCTTTGCTATACGGGAAACAGGAATTTCTGAGACAACAGGATGACAGGAAGACAATTAAAGAATGACAGAATCTTTGCAGATAAATCTGAATACAAAGAAATTATCATAATTGAAAACAATATACTTTGAAGTAGTATAATGCCAAGGGATATATTCCAAGGACCATGCAAGTCAACACCATCCTGAATCAACGGTAAGAAGTGCAAAATTCCTCTGATTTATGCTTTTAGAACGATCATGACTATTCCCTCTCCTGTGGTGGTCTAGAGAACCTTATCTAGAAAGCGTTGATGGCGGCTGCGTCCCCTGCTTTGGGGAGGTGCACAAGCCCTGCCTTGCTGGTTCCAGCACGGCGCTGGTGGCCAGGACTCACCACCAATTTACGGTGGTTTGGAGAAGAGGGAAATACCCAGGACATGCGTTGAAAATGGAGCCAGGGTGTCTGGTGTAAGACCCGTCCTTGCTCTCAAAAAATACTTGCAAGTGGAAGATCTATAGGGCAGCATAGAGTACGTGCACCGTGTGGGGTGGATGGTGTGGAGGAGCTGGGAGCAGGCAGGGTGCTGGGCCAGGGATCGCTTCCACCAGAGCGAAGAAGAGGGATCAATAAAGGACTCGCTCCCCCGAGTCCCTGCGGAGGAGGAGCTGGTGATGGGGGAACAAATTCTGCCCTTGCCTTTGTTTGGAATTAAGGACATCCTCTGGTCCGGAGCTCCCAGCAGCGAGGAGGGACGCGCTGCGACTGACGGAAGTCAAAAGGTTCAATAAAAGCTTTTAATGAGGGAAGATGACACTTGAAGTTAAAGGAGACCTTTCAGTAAGCATATGTTTTTAATGTGCGATTAAGAATAATATATAATGTTGGAGTTCATTAAGACTGAGTTAGGCTGTCTGAATTTTGAGTCAAGCTGTAAAGGCTTTTAAAAAAAAAAAAAAAAGAGCTGCTATTTTCCATAGTGTGTATTAATATTAACAAAATATTGATGTGAATTCTTCTTATTCCCTACCTTAGCAGCCTTATCTGTCTAAGGACAGCTAGAATTTTCTCTACAAGCAACAAGGAAAAAAAATTAGAAAGCCTATTAGGGAAACCTGCCATTTTTAAAACGAGACACTAAATCCTTGCCAGAGCGTGGAAATTCGGAAGCTGGGAAATGAGACCTGGAGACTTCCAAGAAGCTGTCTCTGTCCAGCTAAAGTCTGTTCCTGTGATGGGAGTGAATAAAGCACATTTTGGCCTACTAACGTTCAGCCCTCTAGGGACTCAAATTTCTTAGTCAAGGCTTTTTATTGGATAAGAACATTTATTTTAAGGCCAGAAAACTAAGCTCAGATACGATCTATTAAGCTAATGGTACTAAATGATAACCATATTAGAAGGATTTTATATTTTCTTAAGAAATACGTCGTATAGCATTTAAAAAAGCCAAACAGGTCTTGTGCAACTGTTTGCCCATAAAGAGGCAGTTTTAAGTCCTGGGCCGAATTTGGAAATTTGCATAGCAATATGATTAATGAATTTTTTTTGTTTTTACAGTTAATATCTGGAAAACTATCAGAACTAATTGGAATATGGAATATCAGAACTAATTGCAATATTTGGAAAACTAATCAGAATTAATTATTGCTGTAGCGTTGCAAGGGTTGTACATGTAATTTCACTGAATTCTGGTAACAGGATTTTTTTGGGGAGCGAGTGGGGCGGGAGGAGAGGGGGTTGCTTTCTGAGACATTGCATTTCCCCATGTGATTTGGGAATTAGTCATGATTCCATGAAAACAGCTTTTGTTTTGCTGTTTCAGGGGAGAACAAATAATTTCTCCCCTGCACATACCTCTTGGAGAATTTCAAAAGGACTGCAGTATTCAGAAATAGTCCTTTTAATTTTATAATACCAATATAGAGTCCCTTCTAGCAACAGAAAACACAGTAGCCCATGGAAAATGGCACATTTATCAATGAGACATCCCCAGCGGGGTTCCAATAACTGAGAACAACCCCTCCTCCTGCTATCATTCATTTTTATATGGAGAAGGGGGGAAGCCAGTCATCAGGATCATTGTGATTCAGTGCACAAATTGGAGCTTTATTCTTTAACCCCAAATAAAGAGAAAGAGAGGGGAAGCCTTAATAATGGGAAAGCTGGGGTTCTCTTTACCTAATTAAACAGTAATTTCTGAGCTGATTTTTGACATACTGTATCCTTAGCATGGCAGGGAAGAAAGGCAGGAGATGAAGAAGTTTTAAAGAATCTAGAACGTGCCTTTTCTGCTCTGGATAATTCAGTGATGCTTTTCCTTTTCTCTTTCTTCCTCTCCCTTCACCCTTTAAAGAAAAACCGGAGGCTATAAAAGATTTAAATCAAGAAATCAGACCCTTGGTCACTTGAAGGAAAAGTGTGAAGCCTTTTCCCCCTGTGATTAATGCTTACATTCATTTGCACTTCCATTTCCAAGGTCTGCATTTCCAGCCCTGCTTTCCTCTAAGACCTCGGTGCCTTTTATATGCCCCTTTCTGTTTTTTCCATTCCCCTTCTGATAATGAATTTTCAGAACATGTCGTCTCTAGGCTTGTCTTTCTCCTGTGACGCCAGGACTGGTACCAGAAAATAAAATCCTGGCTTATCTTTGCTACGCAGTTGGTAGAGAAGAGCAACCAAGACAGGTTTTTCCTCCATATATAATATATTCCATATACCTTTATGAAATGATTCTAGATACACATTTTTATTACTTCTCTAGCCTTTAAAATATATAATCCACCCAGATTTAAAACCGAAGCAACCAAGTGTACAGCAAGACAGGGAACAGAACAGTGATGGAATAAAGCACTGAGGCCAAAAAAAAAAAAAAAAAAAAAGAAGAGAAAAAGAGACAGTTATATGAAATAAAACGCTAAAGAGCAAAGGTCACACAGGAAAGATCTGACACACCAGTGGCTGATCTCTGAAGTGTCCTATTATGGAGACAGCTCAGAACTACTTGACACTAACAAGACATCAGGCTTTGGAAAAGAGAGGAAATGCGTATAATCGGTTCTCCTATTCCACAGCAAGAAATATCCAATTCTCATTTGTCAGCCCAGGTAACCAGATATTTGTGCTCCTTTTTTAGGGAAGGAAGAAGGGATGAAGGAGAAGACATCCCATCCACAGAAAGAGGAGCCTTATTCTGCCAGAACAGCCCTGGAAATAAACCCGACGCAAGTCTGGTGAGACCTGCCTGCCATATACGTACACCAAATGCAGATGTTGATGAAAGAGCACAGGAGAGAGGTATAAATAAGAAGCACAAATGCAAATTCTGCAAGAAACAGGGTATTTCTTCAGAATGCAAAGTCTCCTTTAGGTTGAGAAGCACCAGGCAGCTATCCACTATATATATAATTATAGATAATTGCTGTTAGGAAAGTCATAGCCAGAAATATGCTTATGATCAGTGATCTTCAAGGGATTAGACGAATACATCTAGAAAGAGCACAAGATTTCCCCTCGGGGAGCAGGCTTTATTTTTTTCTACTTAAAAAAATATTTAACATCGGCCGGCAAACGCGGATCTCGTACTTACTTTAAGTAATTCAGCTAAGACCATCTCTCCATAGGCGAGTTAATCCTAAATCCGAGGCGGCCGAGGGGGGCTGGACCTGGGAAAATCCTGGCAGAAGCGGCTGGGGCTGCGGGCAGGGACCTGCGAGCGCGGCGCTGTCAGTGGCCGCGATGCTGCCCCCGCCGCTGCCTGGGAAAATGGCTATTTTATGAATGGGAGGGCAGCGCCGCCCTCTGCGCCTGCGCGCCCGCCCGGCGCTATGAATGGGTGGGCACCGGGGCGCCAGCGCGCCTGCGCGCCTGCCTTTTTTATGAATGGGGGCTGGAGAGGAGCGCGGTGCGAGCCGCGGAGGACGGAGACGGCTTGCGCTTTTTTTTTTTCATTCCCTTTTTTTTTTTCCTTTCCTTCTTTTTTTTTTCCTTTCCTTCTTTTTTTTTTATGAATGGAGGGCAGGCGGCAGCTGCGCGTGTTCCGCGCCCCCCGCCCGGGGCTGGAGGTAACGGCGGGGGAAGCGGGGGGCACCGCGCTCCCGGTCGTCGAGGGGGCCCCCGCCGAGCCCCCCCCGTTCCCTGCCGGTTGCCCTGGCCGTCCCGAGCCCCCCACCGCCCCGAGGATGCCCCCAGCCCCGCGGCAGAGCCGGTCGGTGTCCCCCCACACACACACACCGCCGGAGCCCCCCCCTCCCCATGGAGCTTGGGGGGGCGGGGAGGCCGCTCTGCCGGTACCGGGGGGAGCGGGGGCGTGTGAGGCCGGAGGCTTTGGCGAGCCCCGTTTTTGGGGTGCGCGGCGGTGAATTGGGGGGCTGTCGGTGATGTCCGTGAGTTCGCTTTGGGGCCCGGCTTTCCTCGTGTGCTCAGGCCCCGGGGCTGTCACCCCCTCCCCCTCGGCCCCCCAGTTTGTGCCCGTGGCTGGCGCTGGCTGCGTGGAAAGACAAGCCGTGGTGTATCCGCTTGTCATACGTGCTATAGATGGATTTATTTCATGGCTCCTGCCTCTCGAGAGGGTGGAGGCGGTGGGACGGAGCTGTGCAGGTCACACAAAGCCCCCCCTTATGAATGGAGGGCAGGCGGCAGCTGCGCGTGTTCCGCGCCCCCCGCCCGGGGCTGGAGGTAACGGCGGGGGAAGCGGGGGGCACCGCGCTCCCGACCACCGAGGGGGCCCCCGCCGAGCCCCCCCCGTTCCCTGCCGGTTGCCCTGGCCGTCCCGAGCCCCCCACCGCCCCGAGGATGCCCCCAGCCCCGCGGCAGAGCCGGTCGGTGTCCCCCCACACACACACACCGCCGGAGCCCCCCCCTCCCCATGGAGCTTGGGGGGGCGGGGAGGCCGCTCTGCCGGTACCGGGGGGAGCGGGGGCGTGTGAGGCCGGAGGCTTTGGCGAGCCCCGTTTTTGGGGTGCGCGGCGGTGAATTGGGGGGCTGTCGGTGATGTCCGTGAGTTCGCTTTGGGGCCCGGCTTTCCTCGTGTGCTCAGGCCCCGGGGCTGTCACCCCCTCCCCCTCGGCCCCCCAGTTTGTGCCCGTGGCTGGCGCTGGCTGCGTGGAAAGACAAGCCGTGGTGTATCCGCTTGTCATACGTGCTATAGATGGATTTATTTCATGGCTCCTGCCTCTCGAGTTTTCCAGGTTTAGCTCTTTGTGCAGCCCGTTGGAGCTCACCCACAGGCAACGCGGGGCAGGCCCTGGGGGCCACGCCTCCCCATTTTTTCCAGGTTTAACTCTCTGTGCAGCCCGTCGGAGCTCGCCCGCAGGCAACGCGGGGCAGGCCCTGGGGGCCACATTTTGGAATAATCTTTAGCAAATAACTGCTGTTCTGCCCTTCGATGCTGAGCTCCCCAGAAAACCCTGCCCTCGCGGTGTGTGCAGGGCTCGGAAACGTCCTGCTGAAATGTCCTACTCTGCTTCAGCTCCGTGTGTCCTGCTGTGCTTCAGCTCTGTCCCACACATGGAGAATCTCTCTCCATCCTCAGCTGGTGCAGGAGCAGCTCCAGGCTGGGTCTCTGTGCTCAGGAACCTCGGAGGCAGGTTCCTTTCCACTGAAAATGCATTAAGAATAATGATGTATTTTTAATATGTGTGACGAGGCACCTTCAGAGAACAAACCGAGCCCCTTCTCATTTCCTGCTGTATTTATGACACGTATATTCAAAAGCTTGCGCAGCGCTGAAGAGACCTCTATGTTATTTATTTATTTGGTGCTCATGTGAGCGTTGTTTGTTATTGCAGATATGCCCCACAGAAAAGGTTTCTCTCTCTGAGAGTGTCTGCTTGAAGACAGTTTAGTTACGGGTGTGTTTGTCTCCGAGGGCAGGGACCTTTCCAGGCAGGAGCCGTGTTCATGGGTCACGGGCAAATGCAATTTAACAGGGGAAGGGCGGAAGAAGGAGATTTGCTAAAGATCGGCTGCTCTGAGTGGTACAGAAAATATTGCTGGATTTCAAGCATACAAGACCGATGCTTGTTTTCAGGAATAAATAGACCCTGGTTGTTAATGTTGCTTTGTTATTGGTCATGTTCTTTACAATCTAATGCTGCCTGAAGGACAGGTAAGCACAGGAATTGTCTGGCTGTGATTCTGAAAACTGGCAAATAAATGGATAGTGGAAGACAATGCAATTTTTAAAAAGCTTATAGAGAGGAAAAAATAAATGGAAAAATCCCATCTACTGTTTTTAGTGCTGGAAACCAGCTCAAAGCTGAGGGACTCGAATGCCTGAGCAAAAAAAATAATAATAAAATTCTGCCCTGATCCCACCGTTTTTCAACACCAGCGAGTGCATAAATTCTGCACCTTGGTTTGAGTTCTGCCAAGTGTGCTGTGACGTTGCAGTAGTGTGAGAGTCGAGCATCTTGGAATGAAAGGCTTTTCTCCATGAATGCTGAGTCCTGTATTTCAGGGCCACACGTACAATGGGCAGAGGGAAGCCCTTTGTTGCCGTACAGTGAGCATCTCCCCACCAGCCCCCGGCCGCCGCCGTGGCAGCAGCAAACTGCTGTGTAATGGCAAAGAAGGCTGACACTATAATTATCCACTAGTTACAGGCAAAGCCCGGCTAGACAGTACACTCCTGATAAAAGCCCTAGCAATAAAACTGAAGAGAGGAAATAAAATTATTATTCCTGTGGGCGGGGTGAGGAGGAGATGGGGTCTGGCCATATGCCTCTGGGGAGAGAAAACCTGGAGTAAGAAAACAGTATTACTGGTATTGCTGCAGACTGTACGAGACCTTTTTGAGCAGAGAATTCTGAAATTGTTAATCTTTGAGTTAATCCTTCTCTTCTTCCTGCCTCTATCCCCAACACATATTTGACGTTCTTCCCTCTGGACAGGGCTGTTTCTTGCTAGAGCCTGTGTTTGCTGTGTTCGGGTGCGTGTGGCTGCTTTGCACTGGAATTGTGTGGGTTCCTCTGAGCTGCCATTCCCGTTTGTACCAGTGGGACCCAGTTTGGGTCAGGATTCAGAAACTGGACTGTTGGTGACTGAAGCAGAACACCAGCACGAGGGCTGTGTGTTGGTTGTCTGCTCTCTGCAACCTCCTGCTCTTTCCGCTTCTCTTTGGGAGCAGGAGGAGGTGAAGATGCACTCACTGCCCTGCTGGGGTGGGACGTGCGTGGGAGGGCTGGTGTCTCTGCCACCCTCTGCTGCTCAGATCTCCTTGTTCTTCTGTAAAAAGGACATTGTGCTGCTGCCTACAAGGGCGAGACTGTCCTTGTGGCGGGGGCTCTGTGGGGTTGATGAAGGCTGCCAGGGAGGAGCCTCACCTTATCAAGGGATGCTGGAAGCTGGGGCTTTAGGAGAAATAACACTTTCCTGAGACATACGTGTTTATCTGTGTTGGTGGTACCAGTGATGCAGAACTCTACGTTCCTTTCTTGTGCCGGAAATTAATTGCTTATTCATTTCATGTGCATTTACACCCTGAAATGGCCATAGATTTTTGAATGGGATTTCTTCACTGGGGTGAATTGTGGCGCTGCCACAACTGCATTGAATCACAGAATCATAGATTCATGCATTGCCTGTAAAGAAAAGCTGAAAAGTTGCCTGTGGTGTGTGATAGAGGCTGCATCCTTATCTTCTGTAGGGCTTTGTGTTACATTGACTGTCAGGTTCAGGTCATATTGTTTGTTTTACTGAAACAGTATGGAGCAATGAAATATTTGCCCAGCTAATACCGCCTGTTCCTGGAACCTCCACTATCTGTCTGTCTTTTTTTCCCTTTCCAATGCGGACAGAAAATACTCATCATCATCTTCTAGATAAACCCTTTGCTGCCAACTTTTATATGTCCTGTAGTTAGTGGAAGAGCTGTGATTCTATGAACAGACTACAGCAAGACGACATCCAAAATGGACATTGGGTACCCCACTCTGCTGACCACTGCTCATTCCCTAAGGTGTGCTTTAATTGTTTGTATTGATTATTGTTATCAGTTATTTGTAAAGCCCTGGGAGCCTCAGGTACTTAACAGCTGCCACCCTGCTGAAGCACTGGTGGGTGATAAAGGTACCTCTTCCAACAGCCCCTCTTGGCATTGCCCAGGTGGTGCTGAGTGGCCACCTCTGCTCCTCACCCCTGCCAGTGGGATGAGCGTGGTGAGATGTCAGATGTCCATCTGGTCATGTCCCCTAGATGTGCTGTGCCTCACCAGGCCACAGTCCCCCCAGCAAACTGCACAGCGCAGGTGGGATATCCCAGTTATACGGGTGCTTGGAAGAGGGAACGGGGCCCCTTTGGAGGACGGGGTCTGTCAGCATCTCGCACCCGGGGACAGCAGGAGGGCAGTTTTCTTCCCAGATACCTGTGGCAGGAGATGGCATTGCATGATGAAGCCCAGTGTATAAGTGAGCACTGAGCTGAGAGCCAGAGATACAGAGTGTATAAGGGGGTTTCCCACTAAAGCTATATAGCTATGTGCAGCAGACACATAACCTGCCTCTGGAAGCACACAGGGGTTTCAGGGCTCAGAAGTGGAGTCTGTTGTAGAAGAATGCGTGTTACCGCCCATGGTTTTAAGGTTATATACCTTTTTCCCTACCTTTAAAAAAAAAAAAAGTTGCCCTTACAATCAGACATGTTAAATGGAACATGCGTTTCTTCCCCTGGGCTTGCAAATTTGCACTTTTCACCATCACAAAATTAGTGTATAAAGATTTAACA